TTCCTATACTTTCCAGTACATCTAGGGTTTTGAGATTTCCTGCTAACATTGAAAGCGCTGTATCAAATGCAAGGATTATTATTATTATATTCAATTCAATTATTATATTCTGTGTGAATGTATGTTTTAGGGTAAAGAAGTAATTTACTCTGAATAATGTGAGTTGAACCTACAGCCGTTCCCTTTAATCACTGCAATACACTCCTGTATTTTAAATATGTTTGAAAATTCAAGCTAACTGCACCTCTAGATGGTGCCACTCTAGATGTCCATTTGTAGCGTATTAACCTTTTAATTATTCAGTATTAAGTCAGGATGCATTAAGGATTGAAAACTATAAGCCCAGGTTCCTCAGTCTTCCTAGAGTTAACTCTCCAGAGTTAAGCACTCCACTCTCAAGGTCTATTTTCACAAGAATCATTTTGAGTGTGGAAGCAATTAAAAATCCAAATATTTTACCTGACTCCCCATAACCTGGACATAGAATGCAATTCAATGCACTGAAAAGATTAAGACGCTTGAAAACATCTATCCTTAAAACGTACATCCTTCCTTTACATTCTCTGGAGTCCCTGATGATGTGTTGCACAGGAGCCATGGTAACTGGTGCAGACCTGCACTGCATGATTTGGTTATGTTTGACATCCTAATGGACTCATTTACATAAAACAAGCTCAAGAGATGTTCAGGATATAGGGTTGGAATACCAATTTTTCACATTTTGAGCAGAATCTGCATGTGGATATTCCAGCAAACACCCTCCTATCTGTGTCTTCAGTCAGCAGTCTGCAATTACAGATGGCAATCACAGTTACCTATCAGGAAAATCAGATCTTCCAAATTGACTGCAGCAATGTCATGATCGACTGTCAGATTATAACAGCCTCGGCACAAATCTGTTTACATTTGTAAAGCTGTGACAGATTTCAGTTTTTAAAAAAGGGAAAGGAAATACAGAACAGCTGTTTTTTGAACAAAAGTCCTACAAATAGCCACAAGGTGAATGATCAACTCATCTGGAGGATTGCTGTCCAGAACACTTCTCTTTCCCAATACTGCAGTGTCAAGGACTGTTTAGCTAGCATCGGAGTGAAGATCTAGAGGCTGACAAGATCTTGGTTAATCCTATTCTAAAGCATAGAGGCAGCTCCGACGTTGAGGTGCTCTCTCAATACCCCACTGGAAGGGCAATACGATGAATAACAGTTTCTGTAAATAATTGACATAGAGTAATACAACTAAACAAATGGTAACAAACTGACCCTTAGAATCAATCTTAGTATCACAATGAAGGTGTTTTTAATCAGCACCATTCTATTAGAGTCATCTTACTTTGTGATGGTGTTTCATATAAAATCAGCACTGTAAAGCACTAACCATTGGTGATTTTACCTGTTGTAATCCCTGTTTTTATTGTATTTTATGGGGGTTAACAAACAATAAAATGTTCTCAGACAAGACACAAGTTATTCCACTACAATAACTTGCATTAACAAAGTGCCCTTCACGTAGAATAATGTCACTACACAATTTATCTGTATTTGCTGCTACAAATACGCAAAAGATAGCAAACAAAGGCAGGAAAAGTGTAAATTATATGGAGTAGGGCTATTTGGAGATCACAAGATGGCAATGCAATCATAGGAGTCAATTGTTGCCATCAACTCCAAGGGCTTCAGTTGTTTGAGTCAATACAACTTGATAACTGTGTTAATTTCAATGAGGAAGCTTTTGTTATTATTTACAACAGATGTATGTATAATAAAAATAAGAGAAGGCCCATGAATAACCTGTCTATTTTAACATTTCTGTGTCATGTGACATTTATGGACTAAGGCAGAATTCTTTAATGTACTGTGCGTTTCATTGTTCTGATAGTTTATAATTCTGTCAGTCTCTTTTGTGAACTAAATTGAACGTTTACAAGATTAAGTCCTTCAGTACATTTTCAAGAAGTAAACAAAGGTTGTACTTTAGAGATACAATACCGTCATGTAGGCTGGGTTTAATAAACAAATGTCGTGGTTCGTCTTGTAGGACTGCAAAAAGCTGAATAAATGTGAAGACCATTACCCAGAAATAATGTCCCTACTATAATTCCCATAAAGCATTTAAATGTTGCAGCAGGCTGCTGCCACACAATTCTGAGTGCTGAGAAGATATCATCAAATATCTCATTCAGCTCTCATTATTTGACAGCTTCCTTTATCTGTCTGCAATCAGACAAAGTTTAGAGCACTGAAAGAGGCCATTCAGTTATCATTTCCCCACTGGAGCCATCTACTCTGATTCCATTCACCGCAGACCTTCAACATAAATTTTCCATAAACAATATGAGAACGAACCGATGGGCAATTCAATTCAAACCTGTGTAGCAGTAATGTTTCTAGGCCTGTTAGTGCCACTGAAGATTGAATAGTCGTAGCAAGGTAGCAGCAGATTCTGCCTGTTAACTTTGTGTCTTTACATCAAAGTCATTTGATGTGCAACCATTGCATCCTAACGGAAAGCTTCTGATTGTTAATCCTGAGTGTATGAGTACCTAAAAAATGAAACACCTATATTTCAATTTCTCAAAATTCATATTTATTACAGTCTTTATTCACTCTATACAGCTAACACAAAGCAGGTTCTTATAGATCTCTAAAATGCAACTCTTATAGAGTTTCTTTTTAGAGATCTATCCCAGCAGAACAGATGGAACACAATTCAAAATTACACACTCAGTCTTTTTAGTTGTTGTAGCTGAGGTATTATATAATTACACCAGGAATACACCACTTGTACTGTACTGATAACGATAGGTCATAAACCTGAAACGTTAACTAATTTCCTCTCTCCATGGATGCTGCCTGACCTGCTGTGTGTTCCCAGCGCATTCTGTGTGTATACCAGATTTCCAGCATCTGCAGTACTTTGCCTTTTGATTATACTGTTTGCTCTTGGCATGGTCAGATAAATCCATTATGGTTTTATCATGAGACGAGGTACAAGTAATAAACCTCTAATACACCACTGTAATTCTTTACATTCAAGAGAAACAAGAAGTAGTGATTTCAGTCTGCTTTAGTTCCACAAATGAAATAAATATTTTACATGGTTCATTAGAAAGGCACAGAAGGATGGCCAAGAAGAACAGTTCAATTTGCAGAAATCTGCCAGATATTGATCTTATAAAATAATATACTGCTTAAGGGCTACTATGTTTGACACATCAGTATACTCTCTTGCAGTTCAGTGGCTACAACCTTGGCTTCTTGGCGTGCTTTGTGTCATAAACAGAGAACCTATATATTAGAACTGTCACAGATTCATATCCTGCTGACAAGGCAGAGCCATCAGATACAGAAGGTTCGATAATAATAACCCTTACTTTTGATATAGAGCTGTCGTTGAAATGTCTCAAAGTGCTTCACAGGATTTGCTGTGACGTGTAGTGACTGCGTATTTGTAGTCAAACATAACAGCCAACAGCTAAGGGAATTCAAATTCAGAATTTTCCTTTACATTTGAGCTGACTCAATGGACCTTTCACAGGTTTACCCTTATGCAAAACAAGATACTCGGGAGTCAAAAAATTCCCAACCAGTTTCGTAACAGGACCAATAGTGGTCGCATGACTGATCATATGACTGGCACTCTTACCACACCCGCATAAAAGTTGGTCAGCTCCACCAGAGCACAGCGTGCTTCAAATCCTGTCATTGCTCAGAAACAACACTTTTACACTTATACAGCACTTTGGGAGGACATCTCAGAGCCCTTGTAGAATCAGTGAAAACCCTGGTCAGTCCAGGAATTTGGGGCATCATCACGATGTGAAAGACATTATATAAATGTAAATTTGTTCAATTTGCTTCATCTAACATGCATACTTGTGCACATACTTGAATATCACTGAACAAATTTACTTGCTGTTCACTTCTCCATCTCCTACAGTTAAAAAATGAATGCTTGAGTTTGGCACATAACAGACCTGGCTTCACATCCCTCTGTCCGTGGGTGCAGAAGGATAGTCACTAACTGGTCATTTGATATTACTTAAGTGCAGGTTTGAGGCCTCACTAGGTAAATTGCAACTACCGGGTGCTCTCTGGGAGCTTCCTGTTGAGTAGCACAACTCAGCATGAAATTTGTGAAAGTACTGCCACCAAGAGATGCCATATGGATAGTTGGTATGGAAACACAGTTCTGCTCCATTGCGAGGATACTCTTCTGAGTTTAAAACCACTGCACATAATAATAATAATATTGTGCAGAAGGTACTTTATTCTATCTTACCCATGCAGCTCCCAAGCCAGGAATAATGACACTGACATTGGCTTGAAGCCGGAAATTATGATTTCATTTCCCAGCACTGTTTTCACTTCATCATAATGAGCACAAAAATAAATAGCACTGTCAGTCCAACAACTTAATCAGTTAAAAATTGCGCTACAAGCCAAACAGATGTCTGGTTCAGGTTCAAGATTGCAACATTATGGAAAATTATGTATGTTTTGAGCAATTGAAAGCAGACTCCAGTTACAACATGTTGGATTAAGTTGAGGTATGCATTTGATAGCTTTTAGCACACTCAAATTTCCTTAATCCTTCAACTTTTCACTTATGTGAATACAAATCGTAGATTTCATAGACGTGGTCAAACAGGTACCTGACACATGCGGAAAGCCATTACTTTACTTAAGAGTATCCAAACCAGACTGACAATTCCACATTTGCATGCCACCTACATGTGGAAATTTCCACATACGTATGCCACCTACAAGTCTCCCGAGAGGGACACATCCTGCTTCCCTAATTCCAGAGAGTATTTGCCGCAGGTAGGGCATAGAGCCAATTGTCTGGTAAGTTTTGAACTGCTTGTCCAGCTAAGACCACCCTAGCCATTAGGGCGTTGGCTTGCAGGGGTAACAGGAACTGAGTGGGAAGAATCCCTGCTCCCAGTTTCTGCTCTTACAAAAACAAGAAGATGAACTGTTACTGTCTGTAATACTTACCCATGTAGGGCTTGGTCCCAGCCATGGATGTAGCTTTTTCTGAATCCCCCACAATTGTTGCTACGTTGAAGTCAGTAATGTGTACATGTCCTTCAAAACAAAGTATAAATTTTAATTAATAATAAGATTCCTGCTTTGAAATATGGTGCAAGTCGGACGCGAGGGGGGCGAAAATCATCCATGGGTTATGTAGCTTATTAATTAAGAGCAATATTGCATTAGGTTATTTTTGAGAAAACGGGAAGATTAGCCAACAATTAGCACTGTAGATAAATGATTGTTGATCAAATGTTGTACGTGGAAAGAAGAGTACATTGGGAGAGATTTATTTTGACAGGTTGAACAATTTGTTCTCAGGATCTAGAGTACAATCCAATACAATTCTCAGGTATTACGCAAACATTGATACTGAATGGCTTACAAGTTTCTGAAAGGGGATATAGAGCTGGTGCAATAATGATGTCTCAATCACAATTTTTAAATCGGCTGCTCTCCGAAGAGTACAGGGATTCTGAGGATTTATGACAAAAAAATGAAAAGAAATGCTTTTGCTTGTATTCCCAGGAATTCTGCAATCACTTTGTTTGCACTTAAATACCATCTGAGGTAATGATGGCCAACCTTTTTGGTCAGCCAACAAAATAAATTTTGTTAAATAAATATTTCTTGATTTATGTCATAAATCAAGAAATGTTTAATCAAGAAAAAAATGGAAACAAAACATTGATTTAAAACAGATTGACTTAGACAAGTGCAAAGGGTAGGGGGCTACTTCTGGCCTGTGGGCCATTGATGGGCCACCACTGATCTAAGATGAGAATCTCTTCCAATAAGGCAATAATGGCTCTTTTACATGAATCAAAACTGGAAAACAATAAGGGGAATTATGGTCCAGTTTAAATTATTTTGAACTAGGGGTTTGAGAATCCTATTTGCCTTACTTGTACCATCTGCCTTTTAAAGTATTCGAAAAAAGAAGGGAGGTTTCCCGGTGTCCTGGCCAACAATGTCCTAAATTTAGAAAACGGTCATTCACTTTATGGTTTTTGTGATATACTTTGGTGGCCAATTGGTTGCTGTATTTGTCTATAAATACAGTCACTGCACTCTACAGTAAAATTCTGTGAAGCACTTTGACGATGTCTCGATCATGTGATAGGGTGCTATATATTAAATGTAAGGATTATTATCATAGAAAGATACCATTATGCAGCATCACCAAGTTACCCAACTCAAAAGATTTCAATGAAATTTTAAAGGAAAAGTGGTTCATAGTTTCATAGACTCCCAGAAACTACAGCTCAGAAACAAACCATTCAGCCCTTCCAGTCTGGCCGTGTTTATACTCCATATGAGTGCCTATACTAGATCCTATCTCTAGTCCCAAATCCCTGCCTTTTCCCCATATTCCTCAACTTTATTCTCCTTCAACCATGTGTCAGTCTTCTTTTGGGGAATGGAGCTATTGGGTTGTTGCCCCAATGACTGTGGCAGAGAATTCCACACTCCCACCACTCTGTGTGAAAAAGTTCCTCCTAATCTCCGTTCTGGACTTCCCAGTTATGATTTTAAAACTATTTAATTCTTCCTGTTGATTAGTTCAACACGATTTTTGTATATTCATTAAGAGTTAACAGGCATTGTGAAAATAAAACACGCTGTAAGGTTCGCCATAATGAGACTTTACCCTATACAGGTGGTGTGAACTATAGATCTTTTATTATCATCTGCAATTCAAAGGTTAATGCTTTAACACATACATTATTTTAACGTTAAGTTAACATTAAATCAGTAAGATTCAACTAAACCAATATTACCCGATTCCATTGGGGAAGTCACCAGCTGCCTCACAACTATTCCTCCTACGATGCTTCCAACTATTCCAAAGTTACATCTTTCTCTGATGTGTTTCTAAGTCCATCTCCCCTTATCACAGAGATAGCCCCACCCTTTGCAAGCTTCTAGTGACCTTGAGCAGGCTGCTTTGCAGAGAGAGAGATATGGACAGCTTTTTGGGAGGATTCTGTCATCTCCCTGTTTCTTAGCCATATTAATAAAATATAATCTGCAGAATTATCTTTAACCCAAACGTGAATTTGTTATAGGAAAACCTCTTCAACTACCTCATCATTAACACAACACTTAATTAAAACATGATTGTTATGGAACATGAATTTGGTATGGAGAACATCTTCAATGACCTTCAATATATCTTTACCTTTGCTACTGCTAATTGGCACATTTATTATTATTATTGGCACATTGGATTATTATTTAACCTCTCAGGGGCTCTAAATTATGTGTTCTAAAAGTATATTAATTAAAAAACTTTAAAAAGAGTAAGCATCACAAATACACTGCTGCTAACATTGTTGGATTATTTTGCAATACTGTAAGATTGAAGGAACATTGCTTATCCTTTATTGGATTCTTCTTCTAATGTTCTGCCCCAGAGACATGCGCTTAAAGAAATCCAGTTATATTAAAGGCTGAGGCATTGCCAAAGGGGATTCAAATCTAAACCAGGACCATTATATTTAATTAAAGGTCACTTGCTGGAAACTACATTGTCATTTGTTTATTTTAAAAAGAAAATAACATTCTATTTTTATTCTTAAACTAATCAAATGTGTGTTTCTCCCATTTCCCTTCTGACAGAATCACTCACAAAAAATAACAGTGTGCTTGTCACTTATTGGCTTTTTAATTTATTTTTTAAACATTGAGCAGCGCTGAATCTAATTTTGATTCACTGCTACCTCAGTTATTTAAGGCAGACCCTAAAACATATCAAGAATTTGTATATTTTAAGAAATTCTTGTCATTCATATCTTGAAACAAATTTTAATCTTGAATACAATTGTTACCTCCTTGCTGTCAGGTGTCTCCATAGGTCTTGCTTCAATTGTATTGTGAAGCTCTGTATCTATCTCACATTTTGAATTTTAGTCCACTTTCGACCACAACAATTTACATTTCTATAGCACCTTTCATGTCAGATGGATGGACATCTCAAAGCGCTTCACACAGCTTCACATTTGCATACAGCAAACTCACACTACTTGTTTGTCTCAGGTCTGATACAAGGTAATAGCACTCTAGCATTCCAAAGTGCTTCATACAGGAACCTGAATGAGAATTGGTGAAATTCATCCAATTCACCTATCACCACAGGGAGTGGAGCTGGTTAATATAGTTTCTATTAGAAATGGTGACTGCAGCATCTTTCACTTTTACAGCATGCAACTTCAAACTGCAATTTTTAATCAGAAGTCATTCAAATGTGCAAGGCAACCAAAAAATGTTGTAATAAGCATTACATTTGATATAGCTTTGATGTTGGGAGAATGTCTCAACCGCTGAGCGGAGGGAGCAGACAGGTTGATATGGTGTTAGCAGGTCACAGAGGTAGGAAGGGGCAAGGCCATGGAGAGCCATGAGAGCAAGGATGAGGATTTTGAACTCTATCCTCTGAGGGATGGGGAGCCAATGGAGCTGGTCAAGGGTGGAGTTGATAGTCACAAAGCCCTTTGCGAAAGAGGACACAAGCTGCAGAGTTTTGAATGATCTGCAGCTTGTGGAGGGAAGAGTTAGGAAGGCAGGGAGTTGGCTTAGTTAAGCCTAGATGTAGTAAATGTATGGAAAAGGTTTTCGGCGGCCTGAGGGTAGAGGCAGTGATGAGACCAGGTGATGTTTCGGAGGTGGGGGAAGGCAGAGCGGGTCATAGCATGGATGTGGGGTAGAAAAATCATTTGAGGGTCAAACAAGATGCCAAGGTTCCGGATTTGCTCAGTGAGGTGGAATGTGCATCCGTGGATGTTGATGCTGCCAGTGCCTGAGATGTGGAAATGCTGATGGGAGACAATCGGGGAGGCCCTCAGTCACAACCTTTTGACTACCAAATGTGCCGAGTTGACATTGGTCTTTTGGTCTGACTGCCAATATTTCCTTGAGTCACATACAATTCTTCTTTCCTTTTTCCCTCTTTCCTGCACTTCTAAGTGAGCGAAACCAGCGAGCTCCATAAGAAGCTGGGTATTATTTGCACCCAAAATTCAAGGCAAAAAGGCTCCATTAAAACATATTCAAGGTGTCAGCCTGCCTCGGATGGTAGCAATTTCACCTCTGAGTCAGAAGCTTAGGGGTTTAACCCCACATCGGGAGTTTGAACTCCCAGTTAAACTAAATATAGTGCTGGGGGTGTGCTGCATTGTTGGTGGAGCAGTATCATTCTTTGGATCTGATGTTAAACTGAGGGGATAATGTTAGAAGTGTTATGAAGACATTTTAGATCAGGGAGGTGTATTATACCTATATCATGTTCAAAATAACAAGTATTCCCCAGCAACTCTATTGCCATGGCAACAAGGACTGAACAGCAGTGTTTTTTTCTGATTGCATCTTGTCCGGCATGATTCTGCCAGTGTATAGACCATAATAGTAATTGATGGTAAGATTGAAATAATTTCTTTCCCCACTCTCACCCCCAGGTAAAATATATTTTGTAATCTTTCAAACCCTGTTATATTTCCTTTTCCATTTATGAACAGACTTATGTGATACCTGTTGGATACAGGCAAACCCAATACCAGGACACATGTGCCCTTATTTAGTCAGATGTGACTCTTGAATAGGTGTTGAATCTACTCTACTGGCTCTCTGATGTATATCTTCCATTTTCACATCACAAGAACCCACTGAACCACTGTAAACTAATGAACTCACACCAAGTGACATGAGTGGTGCATCCTTCACAAAGCGTGCAGCCAAGTGATGTCAGCAGCGATTTGATGACCTCAAAGTGGGCCTTTTTTTCTTTGCATCAATAATTCATGGTGGGGGGAGATTGAGCTAATGGATCAGATCATTGTCTTATAATGGGGTTGCCCTGGACATTGTTGCATCCATTAACTCCAATTTCTGATGTTTCACTTTCATAAAAATGCCTGGGATAAACATACAGGAGCACTTGGGAGATGTTAATGCTCCACCTACATAATGAGGTGTAAAGCTTCAGAATTCTGGTAGAAAAGATACCAGCTATGAATAATGTCTGACCATCTTTTTCATCTATGGGAATATCAATACAATTTCCTTCCTGAACATCTTCGTTGACTCCTACTTCTTCTCCAAACAAAACAATCAACATTGTTTTAAGTTTTAAGATAGCTTCCTTTTGAGTATATTTGTGAATATTTTATTTACTATTACTCTTACGATAAAATTTTAAATGACAGCTGACCTTTGCACTCATAATGGTCCATATCAAATGTTTCGCCTCAGGAGAATTCAACCTGCAACATGATCTTATTACCTCAAAGGAAGTGTATTCTTTCAATGAATCCCATCCCTATTTTCTTCAGTATGATTCTGGAGCATTTCAGTCTGATTCTTAATGTCAACATGATTAACCTCTCCCTGTCATAAGGTACTGTTCCTTCCCCCCTCAAAACAGCCATTATCACCCCCACCTTGAAGAAACCTTCCCTTGACCCATCACAGCTGTCTAGCTACCGGCCCATCTCAAACCTCTCTCTCCTATCCAAGGTCCTTGAGAGAGCTGTTGCCTCCCAGCTTCACTCTTTCCTCTCCTCTCACTCCTTCCATGAATCCCTCCAATCAGGTTTCCGTGCTGCCCACAGCACGGTCAAGGTCTGCTCTGGTCAAGGTCACAAACGACATCCTGACCATGTGCGACCAGGGCTCCCTCTGCCTCCTCGTCCTCCTCGACTTCTCCGCTGCCTTTGACACCGTGGACCATTCAATCCTCCTCCACCGCCTCTCCTCCCACCTCAACCTTCAAGGTTCTGTCCTTGATTGGTTCAGGTCCTACCTTTCACACCACCTCCACTTCGTCGCAGAAAATGGCTTCTCTTCTAGCCCCTGCACTGTCTCGCGTGGTGTTCCTCAGAGCTCTTTCCTCGGTCCCCTCCTTTTCACCCTCTACATGATCCCCCTTGGTGAAGTCATCCGCAGACACGGGGAAAATTTCCACATGAACGCGGATGACACCCAACTTTATCTCTGCCTCCACCCTCAACTACAGGACTACTGGCGCCCTGACCGACTGCCTGTCCGACATCAAGTCCTGGATGAGGGACAACTTTCTCCAACTCAACGTCAGCAAGACCGAGGCACTCCTGATTGGCTCGCGCCAGCGCCTCCGCACTTCGGGCACTGGCAGGATCAGCATCCATGGCTGCACACTCAACCTCACGAAGCTAGTCAGGAACCTGGGTGTCTTGTTTGACCCTGAACTGTCCTTTCTCCCCGTGACTGGCACCTCCTACTACCACCTCCGCAACATTGCCAGACTCTGCCACTGCCTCACCCCTCAGGCTGCCGAAACCCTTATCCATGCATTCGTCACATCAAGGCTCGATTACGGAAACTCCCTCCTCATCAGCCTTCCCAACTCTTCCCTTCACAAGCTGCAGATCAACCAAAACTCTGCAGCTCGTGTATTCTCACGCACCAGGCTCCGTGACCCCATCACTCCCACCCTCGCCCGACTCCACTGGCTCCCCATCCCCCAGAGGATCGAGTTTAAGATCCTTGTCCTCAATTTCAAGGCCATCCACTCTCTGACCTGCTGAATCCCTACCAACCTGCCCGTTCCCTCCGTTCAGCGGGCTCCGGCCTGCTCCATATCTCCCGCCCGACCCACCCTACCATCGGTGGTCGGGCTTTCAGCCTCTCTGTCCCCACATTCTGGAACTCCATCCCACGGTCCCTTCGCCTCGCTTCTTCCCTTGTCTCCTTCAAGGCCGGTCTCAAGACCCTTCTCTTCGATCGTGCTTTTGGTCGCCTTCCCACCTCTCTGTCTTCCCTCACCCCTACTCCACCTCTCCCCCATGCTCAGGCCCCAACACCCGACTGTTCAGCACTTTGAGATGTCCTCCCGACGTGAAAGGCGCTCTACAAATGTAATTTTGCTGCTGTTGTTGTTGGAACACAATTTTAATCCACAGACTATCTCAATTAATACTTAGTTGAACAAGAGGTTTCATTCAAGTAGAGACTTTGGGGCCTAACAAGTGTGTCAAATTTTTGGAACTTGCACTCCCTGACTTTGGCTCAATGATTTGGCCCAAACTCACTCTTCAGCTCCCAATTGTGGTAAATTTGATCATCTAAAAATAAGATATCTTCTTAATTCAGCTGGTATCCTGTCACACCAACAAAAGGAACATTCAAATAATGCCATTGAGTTCATATAAATGTAGTTGTTTTCTCATTCTTGCTAAGGTGTTAACTAGCCACAGTTTTCAACACCGTGTTTATTAACATCATATTAATTAACACGTCGAAAGTCACAATTTTCACTTCAGTTAGGATCGCAAAGTAAGGGCCCACCTTTTATTCTGCTTGGGAGAGAGCTTACATGTGGGGGGGTTCTTTACAGTAAATATGGAATAGCAAATCATGGTTCATTGTGGTGTTCTGTGGTGTGAGTGTGGTGTTAAGCACTCTGAGATGTTGCCCGGCATGAAGGGTTTTATAAATGCAAGTTGTTGTTGTGTGGAGGCAGTGTGGTCTCTGTTTGATAAGAGACTTACTGATTTTTTAAAAAAGCAGAAATATAAACACCAACGTTTTCTTGCTCACTATCTCATTCTGACTTTCTCTTGGAAGCGGCGAATACGGTATTGGTGGAATGCAGTGAAGCCAAGGAGAGCCTGCGTCTGTTGTAAATCAGAATGCAGTAGTGAGACTATCTATCAATAATCTATTAGGCTGAGTGTAGATTGTGTAGAGATTACTGGGCCTGCAGGGAAACTGCTTGGGAAACACGTGCTATGTCATGTAAAGAGTGAACTACCTGCTGAGCTATAATGTTCATGTATTTATAAACTGTTCCAGCTGCTATGACTGAGAACTGTACGCAATTTGAACCTGTGAAGAGAGTTATGCTGAGCACGAGTGCTAAAGAAATATCATAGCCATCAGGTTCCTGTTTACAATGCTGGACCATTAGTGGATGGAGCTGCAGCTTATGAACAAGTAGCTGGTTGAATCCTAGTAGCTGGGTTTGCTGGTCTCTGCTAGGGCTACAGATTAAAATCCCAGGGTTAGGTTAGCAAGGTTAAAATTAGTTGGGTTTACTGGTCGTAGACCCTCTTCAGTCCCCTTTACTAGATATGTGTATGTGTGTGGCTGCCAGGTGGGGAGAGGTCAGGCTCAGCTATGACACCCTTTAGTGGTCTGCTGACACTCACTGCCAAAGGCTCATATATAAACAAACTACTCCTGTAGACCTGTATCATAGCATTAAGAGGCAAAGCACCAGGAACAGATTCATATACCAAAGGGGAAAAATATTTTTTCCACAAAGTGCTCAAAATCTGGCATTTTAGGTTCAACTAACACACAGTCAGTTAAAGGAACAAGCACCACAAAAACTGTGAAGCATGCTTTTTAAAAAATGCAGTCAACTAACAATTTTTATTTACAATGTATAAAAAACAGAACGTGGTGGAGATATATTTAGATCTGTATTTGAAGAGACATTCATGCAGTAGAAACATACAAAAATTGCATTTGTGGAATTTACAATGCTTCATTGGAGTCCTGTGGCTCAGTGGTCAGAGCACTCGCTTTGCAAGTGAGAGACCTGAGTTCAATTCCAGGCAGGGCGAAACCTTGGGCAAGTTTCCTTACTCCACACGTCTAATAATAATCCCTCCAAAACTAAAAACAATAATAAATTGGTCATTTTCAATCTACGACTGTTTGTGGGACATTGCTGTGCGCAATTGGCTGCCGCGTTTGCCCACAAATATACAGTCAATTCACTTTTCAGTGGATTCTGTGAAGCGCTTTGGGACATCCTCCCGACGTGAAAAGCGCTATATCAAATGCAAGGATTATTATTATTATTATAATCTTTAACAATACACAAGCATTAGCAGACTGAATTGGTAGAGGATTTTTAAAAATAAATTGTTGATATTGATTTCAGGGTCTTTTTTAGAGGATTTTTTTTAATGGTAACTTACCATGTTCATCAAGAAGAATATTATCAGGTTTGATGTCCCTAGAACACAAAAGGTAGAAATAGAAACTGATATTATTTTCAATGGAAACCAAACTTCTCAATCCTATCTTTCAATAAACAATGTAGCATTCACTGCGTTACATTCATTTAAATTAACTTATGCGAAACATAGTAATCTAACCTGCGACTTTCACCAAACAAATGGGTAGAACTTAATTATACTTCTGTGTTGCTGCAAAACTTCCAGAGAAGTTGATCATCATTATGTCAGTTACTTCTGAAACTGTACTTCAAATATTTCTGATACAACTTCAAATTTTTCTTTGCTCAATAAAAAACAGAGGCATTAGGGGATATGGGGATAGGGCAGGTAATTAGAGTTAAGTCAAAAGATCAGCCATGATCATATCGAATGGCGGGGCAGGCTCGAGGGGCCGAATGGCCTACTCCTGCTCCTAATTCTTATGTTCTTATGTTCTTAATGCAAAATAAAATCTTCTATTTTTCTTATGTACAGTATTTGTACTCATGTCAAGTGATCCCATAACCTGATGTCAACAACAAAATTGATTGATAATATTACTGTGAGTGCCTGCTTTATAATCATTTATGAATAGCACAAATTACAAGAAACTCAAAACAGGGCCTTGAGGAACTCCCATCAGTTACTGCCTCCTAGACAACACCTTGTCCATTTATTATTCTTTTCTTTTTCTAATACCAAGCCATTTTGTTGTCCAGCCAGTTATTTATTCAAAATCCACATAACTTTTAATCTTTTTCGAAATCGCCGGGACCAAGGCTGTGGCAAATACTTTCTGGAAATCTGTGTTATGGTTTCCTGAAAGCCACTGTGCACTAATTTGACCATCAAAGAATGGATTAAATTCATGAGAGATGAATCATTGTTTCCACAATATTCTCTGTGATCTCATGCGTCTCTGGATAAGCACTGATGGTTTCTCATATCAATGTTAGCGAATGTGCAGGTGGGATGCATGGATACTCTTAAGCATTGTGATGGGTTCCGGCATATGTCAGACCACCCCCCCAAAAAAAATGTTAGCAATACTGACTCATTTCTTGCTTCTTTATTAAACAAATTAATTATACAAGACACTCCTCGGGAACAGTCCTGTGTTTTCGGAACTGCTGAAAATACTGGAACCACGCAGTCCTGCAGATAGCTATCCGAGCCAGACAGATACCGAAAGCACTCGGGTCGACTTGGGTCATGAATCAGGTAGTTTATTATTACATAATATAGTTCACTGAATTATAAATCACATAATACGGTTCAATCATCTGCACCGCCTCTTATAACTCCCTCTCACTCATGCTTTCCTTCCCATGTTCAGCTACTCACAGCCGCAGAGCCTTCTCCACAATCCCGTGCCTACCATATGGCTGGGCAACAGACGTCCTTCATTCTCCTGGCCTAATAGGGCCAGAGACCTCCTTCCCGCAGCCCAAGAGACAGAGTCGCCTGAGGATTTAGTCAGCGCTATTACATGGCCCAAGCTCGGCTCCAATTCTTTCCACTGCAAAACCCTTTCTGAAGTGATTTCACGCTTTTGTTGGTCACCACATTGCGAGACAGTCTGTTACAATACTAACCAGATGCTCATTGATTTCCTCACTCATTTCTTTAAATCTCTCATTCAGATATTTAATAATTTGTGTTCCTCTATAATATACAAATATGTAATTTTATACAGACAGGAGTTAGTGCTATATGAGGAATTAATTTATTCTTACTCATTACTGACTTCCTATGAGATAATACTGCAAAGCTTCTCTCTTAAATGAACTATCTAATCTGTAGCATGCCACCTATTTCATGCAAAATAAAGTGTTGATGCCTCTTCACTCTTTGTCCTCTTTCTTCACTGAATGCTTCATTTATTCTGAACCAACAAATGATTTCCATTTTTAACTATTTTTTGATTCCTATTGCAGGGAAACTTCATTAGAGTGCAGTCAGCTGTTTCCAATGTCTTACAATGTCAAAGTGCAAGAATAATGGCCAACATCTGGATTGTCAGGTCACTGTTGACTTCACTTTCTCCCTGAAGTGATGTCGACAATGCTTCCTGGGCATAACTTGCAAAGCTGAAGAAGTGAGAAGACAACCGGTTTGTGTCAGAAGCCTAATATCTTTCAAAATAATCGTTCTTCGAATTTACAATATTCTTGATCACTCGGTCATGTAGATAGCTCCACTTTTTTGCGTTTTTTTGTGGTTATGCATGGGAAGATACAGACGGTCCCAATGTCATTAATAAATAATAATAATGATCCTTACATTTGGTATAGTGCCTTTCACCTTGGAAGGACGATCTCAAAACACTTCACAGGATATTCTGTAAAGTGGAGAGACTATGTTTTGTGGGTGAACTGGTCTTGTCTCGAAAAGGTTTTTACCTTTCATCTGTCCTCTTAGTCCCAAGTGCCAGTTCCAACACAAATGACCCTACTGTCATCCTCAGGGAGCCAAAGTCTGATCATCCAACAATCAATATTAATATTAATAATATCAATAATAATAACAATAATCCGTACGTATGATGTAGAGCCTGTTATGTTAGGAGGATTTCTCAAAACACTTCACTTCTGTGAGGAAAAAATCACAGGATATTTTCTCATATAATTTAAAAAAAGCATAAAGCCCAGTTAATTATCTTTTGTGACATAAAATAAAACAAAATTGTAACCAAACTCTAGCCGCGAAGTCCAGTTTTAGACGCTTAATCCATTTTTTTGATCAGGCTGAGTGAGTATTTCACACAAAATTAGTTTTGCACAAAAGGCCTCACAACACTAAAAGCACATTTCTTTTGTGAGTTATTTTCCCAATCTACAGCACTTCTACCACCTGCTGTTGTTTCTACTCTGTTGCAGCTGTTATGTCACGTAAGATTCTTCTGCATGACTTAACAGGTCTATTTTCTACAATCTACTCAACTTATGTCCACCACAGCTAAAGTTACACCAGGCTTACACGCAATTGCCATGAAAACTAGCTTTAAGGTGGGAGGGAATGTCTGATTTCATAGATAAGGTAATGAAAGAATAGCACATTATGGTATTCCTCTTACTACAGAATTGCATCTCCATACACAATTGATACACTTTATACTTAGTTCATTAAAATAGCACTAGCAAATGCAACCCTCTTCTGATTTAGCTGATGAAAGAGTTTTTTGGGGGGAGGAGGGTCTCTAAAAATCGATGAAGAATTACGCTGTTTGGAATGAGGGAATGCAGTTATACTCTTGCTCTGAAACAATCCAACAATTTTAAACTTAATAGTGGAAGGCAACATCAATTCCCAATATATAGTGTTGGCCCATAAATTACACAGTCAATCACTTTACACTATAACCTGTGAAGTGCTTGGAGACGTTTTAATGATGTGATAAGGCTCTATATCAAATGCAAGGAATATTATTATTATTATTATTATTATTATTATTATTAGGTAGGTAGGTAGGTAGGTACGTATTTGGATTTTGGTGGAAGCCACATCCCACGTTTCGGATTTTCCTCTTTTTTGATCAGGTAAACCACAAAAGTAGGGTCTAAACATTTAAAATTATGCACCTATAGCCAATCCTGTAAGGACATAGAGCCCATTTGAGAAGTTTCCATCACGGAAATCTCTAGGGAAACTTCTTAGAAAAAAATTCCTGTCAATCAAAAATATCATGTGACATCCCACAGTTCAGTTAAGTTGCAAATACAGCCATTCCTTTGCGACCATTGACAGAACTCTGAAAGCCACTGAGCAACATCCACTTGCAATAAGTGAAGACCTGCGCAGTGTCCAGCTCTCAGCTTTTAAAGCATTCTAATTCATAAAGATCTACAGCTTTTGGTTTGCGGCAGGGACAGACCTTCTGCCAGTGGCTAACCTGGCGAGTGGGAGAGCTTCTGAATTCGGCAGATTGGAACCAATGCTGATAACCAGGGGGCTACTGTCTTAGACTGGAGCTGCAGCACCTCCCTCACTATATACAAGTAATTTGTTGCTATAGGAAAGACCAAGCGAGTGTGAAAGACAGTGTGCAAGAGACAGAGGGAGGAAAGACTCACAAAGGAAAGTTGACAAGAGGAAGACAGACAGAGTGACAGACACAGAGGCAGAGTGAGAAACGCAGAGACAACAAACTCACAGGGAGAAGGCACAGGGATACAGAGCAGACAGAGACAGAAAGTGAAGGAGAGCAAGGCAGAAAGAGAAATAGAGACAAACAGGAGACAGAAGCTCATTTGAAAACATCACGTATACTTATTCTTGATGCCAAAAGCTTGCTCCTACAGACCTTAGGACCTTACAGCTCCTAAATTCCTCTCCTTCCCTATTGCCAATCCTGGGATGGATTGCCTCACTAGTTACACATCAAATTTTAAACATTGGTTAACTTTACAATACAAAACAGGAAAATGAAAACAATGCTCCAAGTAGAAGATCAGCAGTTGACAGACACACAATGGGTGAACAAAAGTGATCAAAACAACATAAAACTGCATAAACAGTTTAATGTATTCACCATTCTTTGTATCACCATCAAAAGTGATCGCTGTGGAATTTAATAATACCTTAGACGATTTGATCCAAAAGAAGTAACACTGTTGCCAAGTAGGTTAGTTTCAGGCAGTACATTATATGCTCAAAGGAACTTCAAGTTATCTGAATTGGAATTATATAACTTGTAAAGCACTATTCTGTTCATTTTAAATAATTACCTAACTATCTCTAATCTATATATTTGGAAAGATGTATTTAAAAAAGAATAGCTCAATGAAGAACCGCTTTAAAAGCCCACAAGTAATATCTGTCTGCCGAAGCCTCTCAGTTATTCATGTAATTCACAAATATGTTGTAACGTAATGCTCGTTTTCCATGGAGACCAGGGGTATGTTGGATTTCTTTCAATGAATATCTGCTTAAGAGAGAGGAAAAAATCCTATAATACTGTTTACTTTCCCCAGCGGTATTAAGCTGGCAGAGTTGTCTGCATTTGGCTCCAAAGTTA